CTGTTGACTCCAATGAATGATGAATCCAAGATCGCCGAACAGTGGACTGCTCATTCACAGACAGTTGCAGGCAGCACAACAGAATCCCGATCCACAGAAGAATGTCTCTCTTCCCAGGATGTCTCTGGATATCCTGGAAGCAGGCCACACCCCTGGGAAAACTCCCCTTCAGCAGATTGGCCACTCAGAACATAGTCATCCGATCCCATCATGGGAACAAGCACACAGAACTGGGGTCCAGCCAAGTTGACACACAGCTCCAGCTATCACAGTCCACCCCTTATTAACTTGGCAGTTGTACACATCTTCTTAAGCATAAATAATCTCTAAATAAGGACAATTATACAGTCATATTTGTGCCTAACATGATACGCTAACACACATACAACCAAAATGCATTAACCTTATTTACATTTCACAGTTCATAACAGAAGGAGACAAAAATATTTGATGCACATATAAAATGAAGAAATATAACAATCACAGTCCTCATTTCTGCAGCTGGTCACGTGGTCGTAGCTTGATATTCAGAACTACCTTCTTCCACCACCCATTCTGTATTTTCCTTGCCCTCAGCAAGCACCTCGCCTGGTTGTGGTTCTTTACCTATATGTGTGACCCAAACCTTCATTCCTGAAGGGTCTGGGCCATTAGCAGTCATATCAGAATTGGGTTGCTGTAATTTTCCATTGACTTTAATCACAGGGCATGGTAGTACTAGAAGACATCCTAAAGAATCTCCTGTATTCCAGACATATTCTTCTTTACCTCCATTATGTAAAGCCAACCCAATTTCCCCTAGGTAATCAGGAGTTAATATACCCCTGAGTAAGGACTGTGAAAGTATACTGTTGGCCTTGCCAGCTGAAGGCAAACTGCTTCTGATAGTCTTTTGAAATTGGTATTGAGAAAAAGGCATTGGCCAGATCAATAGCTGCATACCAAGTACCAGGAGATGTACTAATTTGCTCAAGCAATGAAACCACATCAGGGACAGCAGCTGCAATTGGAGTCACCACCTGATGAAGTTTATGATAATCTACTGTCATTCTCTAAGATCCATCTGTTTTTTGCACAGGCCAAATAGGTGAATTAAACGGGGATGTGGTGGGAATCACCACCCTGCATCCCTCAAGTCCTTGCTGGTGGCAGTAATCTCTGCAACCCCTCTAGGGATGTGATCCTGCTTTTGGTTTACTATTTTTGTAGGTGGAGGCAGTTCTGGTGGCTTCCACTTGGCTTTTCCTACCATAATAGCCTTTACTCCACATGTCAGAGAGCCAATGTGGGAATTCTGCCAATTGCTGAGTATATCTATTCCAATTATGCATTCTGGCTCTGGGGAAATCACTACAGGATGAGTTTGGGGACCCACTGGACCCACTGTGAGATGCACCTCGGCTAAGACTCCATCAATAACTTGACCTCCATATGCCCCCACTCTGACTGGTGGGCCACAATGGTGCTTTGGGTCTCCTGGAATTAGTGTCAATTCAGAGCCAGTGTCCGGTAGTCCCCGAAAAGTCTGATTATTTTCTTTTCCCCAATGAACAGTCACTCTCGTAAAAGGCCTCACATCCCTTTGGGGAAGGCTAGGAGAAAGACTGACATTATAGATTTTTGGCAACGTAGTGGAGTCCTTCCTCAAAGGGACCTGGCCTCCCCTTCATTCAAGGGGTTATTGGTCTGTAAACTGACTCAAGTCTGGGAATTGATTGAGAGGTCATGACTCTGTATTCTGGTGATTCAATCTAGGTTGCTGTTCACGTGACCTAGAATTCTTCTGTCTATGCAGATCAAGTAAATATTTAGTAGGCTTGCCATGTATTTCATACTAGGAACACCATGAGCA